CCACTCGTATTATATATAGATCGGTCGTATGTATTACTATACAATTATAGTAGCTACAACACTACGCGGGATGACCGCTATACCGCCACTGCGTTTTCGTCACGATTCGAAGGGACGAAATCGGTTTTTGACTACGGCGAAGGACTATATTATACAGGAAACGGACTGAGAATAGTTTACGGTGAGGAGGTAATACGTGACGAGCATAATATTATAATACTGTACAGGCTGCTAAGTCGAACATTTCGGGTGCGAACAACACGTCCGATGTTTGTCCGGTGGCGCGGATTGTCACTGTAATACTATATAATAATAGCGCTCACCTAGGCGATGCTTATACAACGACAAACGCTACATCAGAAATCGATTTATATAATATACACCGTCCATAATAATATCATCAGACATTTTACAATAGTTTCGTCTAATTTTGAATATTAAGGGAAAATAGTGCGGGGATACCAAAATTACCTTGCCGGTCCCATCTGGCCCGAAGACAAGAAATGTATTTGTTAAATCATCATTTATATCGTTAATTACGGTTTTCATATTTAATTAATATTTATTTTAAACATTAATTATTTTATTTATTTTTCTTCGGCTTTCGATGATGTATGAAAATCGAGTTGGTTGGTGGCTAACTAATTAGTTTAATGTTAGGTGTGACTTACAAATATTAAAAACGCAGCAATTGATCGGATCAGAGCTACGACCGGAGTCCCCACAAAATGATGGTAAAGTAAATACTCTATAGTCACTACTCCACCCAACTAACGACTAACCTTTAAATACTCATAATTTATTTGGTATAAATATAACTAATTAACTACTATTCACATCAAAAATAATATATTATATTATGTACTGAAATTTCAAAAAAACCTTTTCGAATATAAAAATACACAATTTTTTTCTGGCATTAAAAAAAGTAAAAATATCTAAGAAAAACAATAACAATAAAAAACTATTAGATGTATTTTATTTTTCTAAAATTTCGTTTTTCTTAATGTCTTCATCATAATATTATCTAACGGAAGTTTTCCAAAAAAGTTGAACATTTTCGAAAACTGGATAGTTTATCTTTTAAACATTCATTCTGTATATAGGTACCTATTTAATATGACGCCAAAATATGTTTTTCTTTTTCCAGTGAATTTTCATTGTTACAATAATAATATTAATGATATTAATGATAATAGGTACTTGCAGTTGTTCGAGTACATATTTTTTAGTTATTTATTCTCAGAAAACGAGACACAGGATTTATATTTCACCGGAAATATTTCTACACTGCTATTTATTATAATAATAATAATAAAAAATACCATAGTATTGAAGACTATGCTGGCGGTCGTTCGCCAGGGAATTCAACACCTTATATATAGGTACGCTATACAGTTCAATCAAAATTCGCGCGAACACCTTTTGACGATCAAATATTCGATCTTTCTAAGTTCGGGGTGTGCGATAAGAATATCAAATATGAAAGCGACCTGTGGTAAAGGCCAAAGGAAAAAAAATTCTCAAAGACTACCGCACCGATGTGTGCACACCCCGTTTTTACTTTCCTTTCAATATTATAACCTACCGCCCTCGTCGCTGTGAAACGGGAGTATTGAATATGGTAGCGATAAAGTAAAAGTCCGTGTACATATATATATATATTATATAGATATATATAGTATAGTAGTATTAGTGCCCGTAGTTATGGTAGTGCGGTATGACGGAGACCGAGGTACATAGTAGTGCGGTGGATGGTGGATAAAAAAAGGACCTTTTTCGGGCTTGGGATTAGAAAACGACTATACATACACTCAACGAACGTTGGGCGAAAGCCCTCTCTATTTTTCGGGCAGCGGCCTATTATTGGAAGTAAATAAAGTAAAGATCGAATAATTTATGAAGCCGGCGTGCTGCACACACACACACACACACACACACACACACCACACACACACACACATATATATTATATATATATTAGACCATGCGGTGCGTATCAAAACCACACCGTATAAGGCGCCTCTATATACGACCCGTCCACGGACGCGGTCGGATACCGAAAGAGGGGGGGGGGTCGAGGGAGATGTCGAACGGATCGACTATAGGGACGCGAAGGGGAGGCGAGGTTAAGGGATCAAAATGATGTGTCTATTCATCGTTGCGACGGCCGCCACTGTGTGTTTGCGTGTGCGTGTGTGGGCAAAGAAGAAACAAAAGGTATAGTAAACTTTACACACAC